GCCTAACCCTCTTCTGTCAAAAAGGAAAACGAAAGCCTTGTTTAGTTTTTTAAATAAATTTCATTTATTTATTTACAGCTGTGTTGGATCTTTGTTGTTGTGTGGGCTTTTCTCTAGTTGTGGCGCGCAGGCTCCTCTTTGCAGTGGCTCCTCTTGTTGCAGAGCACGGGCTCTGGGACACACCGGCTTCATTGGTTGTGGTGTCTGGTCTTAGTCATTGTGGCTCCCGTGCTCTGGAGCATTGGTTCAGTGGTCTTGGCACTCGAGCTTAATTGCCACTATCTGGGGTCTTCCCAGATCAGGGATTGAACCTGAGTCTCCTACCTTGGTATATGGATTCTTTACCACTGAGCCACCGGGGAAGCCCCCTTGTTGGTTTTCAATGAGATCTTAGTTTTTAACATTCATTCAGAATGTAAAACTGACAAGTTATGTGACTCCAGGCTTTCTGATTGTATTTCTGGAGTTGGCAATTTTTTTTCCTCTGAAGGATCAGAGAGTAAATAATCATTTTTTTGACCAGGTGTTATTGTTGCCTTACTGCTGCCTTCTCTTCTTCCTCTTTCCCTCCAGCTTCAACTCCTCCTCCTCCTTCACAATTGTTTCAATAAGCAGAAACCGTTCTCAAGTTATGGGCCATTTAAAAATAGGAAATGAGGACTTGGCCTCACAGATATAGTTTACTAATTCTTAAACAGATGGCTAAGAGTTTCTTTTCATTTTTCAATATGTCAGATGGCTTTGAAATGTAAAATATGAAACTTATAGCCCTCTTCGCACTTTAAGACTTTTAGTCTGTAATTTAAATCCTCGAAACAGTGCCATTTACTTGGCAATTCCAGTTCTTAAGTTGTAGATTATTGTTCACCCTCATATTCTCAGAGTAGCTCTAGAGTACTGCCTTTCACCCAGTAGCATCCAACAACTGGAACAAGGACAGAATAACTGAGTTTCACTGTACTTTACTTGTTGGGGAAAGAATCATTTCTTCAATTCTCATTTACTCTGTATTTAGGCAAATGCAGGTGCCCAATATCCCAAGTAAACAAAGTAATCTTATAAATGAAATGACATATTTTAAATCATGACACTTAACTTTCCAGAAGAAAACATTAAAGTCATACTCTGAGCAACAGGTTAATATGGGATAATAGTTGTAATTTTTGAGTTTTTAGTGAGAAAAATCAGATTGCTAAGATATTGATATAAACATTTCATATTGATTTATATCGGAGAGAAGCAACTATGTTTTTTTCTCATTTGCATAAGCCACAGATGGTGAATATTTGGACTTAGAACTATAAATAAAAATATAAGAAGGAAAATATAATTTTAAGTCATGTGTCTGTTTGAACATTTGTCTTTGCCAGAATTCTTACTGTATGTGAAACCTAATGTATATCTACTAAATATCAAGTATAATTATGCTAGAAACATAGAAAGGAAATTAAATGGACATGATTTCCCAACTCCCAGAAGTTATATGTGTTTGTGAGAAATAGCAATGACATAGAAATTAAAGCTCCAAGCACGTAAACTGACTTTGAAACAAATACTGCCAGTGACTACTGTTTGCTTTCAGTTTTCTAAAGTATGTTCTTTATGTACAATTTATTTGAATAACTTTTATAGCATTTGTTTTCCTATCCTTATTTTTTAGTTTTGGTTATAAGTTGATATTGAAAATTTATATTATAGGGAAACAGAAATACCATGTGACCACATAATGTTCCTCTAGTGTATATCTAAGCTGTAAAATTATCATCATATAAAATTTACCAAACAAAAGGCCACGGTATGATGATTTTATAGGTGCTTATTCAGCATAAAAAAATAACCTCAAATGCTGACAACAACAGAATAATTTCAACATTGTCATGTCATAAAATATACATTTTAAACAATTGAGTTTAAAATACATTTGTGCCATTTTAGCCCAAAGTATAGCACCTCAAGGGAATTCTCTCAAAATGAGTTTACATTGAAAAGTGTTTTAACACAATTTTTTTCTGTCTCAGAAATTATTAAAGTTACTATACAATGATAATTCTTTAAAGAAACACTGCAAATATGACATTATTTAGCTCTGCCATAAGGATAAATAAAATGTTTACCCAAGTTTTAAAATATTAATGTATATCATTTGTTTTTTAGTGTAGTTCTGAATACAAATAGCATTGCTATGAAACTTCAAGTTAATATTAAAAGATATCATGTTATATTCATTTACTATTTATGATGTTACCTGTCATCAGTACATCTGAGTTCCTTTTTTGCTCACGATAATTTCCTTTTTCCTTGCATTTCTGTACCTTGTCATTCATTTCTGTAATTCTCACATATTGTGTTTCCAGAGTTTATTAACATACATAAATCTGATATATTTACATATTCTTTATGAAGGAAAATCACTGTTATGTAGAAATCTTTTCTAATAAAACCTTAGTTCATTTCAGTAGCTCAGTTGTGTCCTACTCTTTGTGACCCCATGGACTGCAGCACGCCAGGCTTCCCTGTCCATCACCAACTCCCAGAGCTTACTCACACTCATGTCCATCAAGTCAGTGATGTCATCTAGCCTTCTCATCCTCTGTCATCCCCTTCTCCTCCCGCCTTCAATCTTTCCCAGCATCAGGGTCTTTTCAAATGAGTCAGTTCTTTGCATGAGATGGCCAAAGTATTGGAATTTCAGCTTCAGCATCAGTCCTGCTAGGGAATATTCATGATTGATTTCCTTTAGGATGGACTGGTTGGATCTCCTTGCAGTCCAAGGGACTCTCAAGAGTCTTCTCCAACACCACAGTTCAAAAGCATCAATTCTTCGGCACTCAGCTTTCTTTCTAGTCCAACTCTCATGTCCATACATGACTACTGGAAAAACCATAGCTTTGACTAGATGGGCATTTGTTGGCAAAGTAATGTCTCTGCCTTTTAATACGCTGCCTGGGTTGGTTATAGCTTTTCTTCCAAGAAGCAAGCATCTTTTAATTTCATGGTTGCAATCATCATCTGCAGTGATTTTGGAGCCCCCAAAATAAAGTCTCTATTTCCATTGTTTCCCCATCTATTTGCCATGAAATGATAGGACCGGATACCATGGTCTTAGTTTTCTGAATGTTGAGTTTTAAGCCAACTTTTTCACTCTCCTCTTTCACTTTTATTAAAAGGCTCTTTAGTTCTTCTTAGCTTTCTGCCATAACAGTGGTGTCATCTGAAGTTATTGATATTTCTCCTGGCAATCTTGATTTCAGCTTGTTCTTCATCCAGTCCAGCATTTCCCATGATGTACTGTGCATATAAGTTAAATAAGAAGGGTGACAATATACAGCCTTGATGTTCTCCTTTCCCAATTTGAAACCAGTCTCTCGTTCCATGTCCAGTTCTAACTGTTGCTTTTTGACCTGCATACAGATTTCTTAGGAGGCAGGTCAGGTGGTCTGGTGTTCTTATCTCTTGAAGAAAGAAAATCTTGAAAGAAAATAGCATCTCTTGAAAGCAACTGAGGTTCATAAAAATCTACCTACTACCAAAATTTTTTTGTGTGTGTATGTAGGGTTGTATGTTTTTACTGTACATTATGTGTTTTTTCAAAGCATGTAATCATAAGCAATGAGAAGCTTAGTTTCTGCAATAGTTTGCCACATAGATTTTATATCCTAGGAATACAAATTAATTAGATCAGTGGTTCTCAGTGGGGGTAAATGTGGGGAAGACAATTATCTCCATAATTATAAAGTTCTAATGGATCCTATTAAAATAATTAAAAAAGAGGCAGAAGATGATAAGTATCCTGAATGCACAAGCAAACTCCACATGACAGTGTTTTACATTTTGATCAAAGTAGTGACTCATTATCTCATTTTTAAACATGTATGAAAATCAGGAAAAAGCCAAATAATTTCATTTTTATCAGTCGATGGTTTAACTAACTGATTGTTTGCAGAAACACAATAGTTCTCATTAAAAGTTTTTGAAAGCCCTAATGGCATGATCAGCCCTATCTTCTTCAAACATGTCTTAAGGTTGAGGAATGAAATTGTGGCCGAACTGACGGTGGAATGATCAGTTACTGAATTGTATTGGTATCAGTCAGAGTGTGAGTGACAGGACTTTGAATGATGGCTATCACAGTGGAAAGGAAAGGTCAGATACAAGAAAGATGCTTCTTTGTAGAATTTAGAACCTACTGGCTGATTAGATGTTGGGCACAATGAAGTATGAGGTTTGTGTCCTAAATATTTGGAACACTGATCTTTAACAAAGGAATGTGGAGTAAGAAAATGAAATGAATTCATATGAACCAAATTCACTGGGTATAACTGTTATACTGTGTCATGTTTCAGGTAGTATTCTGGGATACTACAACTGAGACTGACTTCAGAAATTTAAAAGAATGATATTTGGGCAAATAAACTTTTTATACAATACATGAAAACTATATTATTTTATTGTTGGCAGTGGTAACAGTAGTGGAGGTAATAGTTAAATTTATTAAGTGCTTGATATGTGTTCAGAATTTAAAATACATTATCTCATTTACTTCTCACAAAAGTCCCAAGAATGTCTCCCTGCTTTTGAAGACAGAGAACTAAGACTAGAGAGGTTATATAAATTTCCCAAGGTCAACATACTAGTGATTATAGATGTGCATTTTGTAGCTAAGCTGTTTGACTCTAAAGATCTTGTGCTCTTTGAAACTCATTTTATTAAGTATATGTACTTAATAGAAATGGAAAAACATCCATAGAAGGATGAGGTAAATACTTGGATCCACACTAGACTTAAGGATACTCCAAAGACTTTGAAGTGTTTCACAAAAAATTTTAAATGAGTAAATTAACTTCCCTTTAATTAGAAATAACCCATGTCATAACCCTAGTTTTTGGATGGCAAGAGGATAATCGATGATTTTAAAAATAAGATAATAAAATCTTCCCTGAAATGTGATGTACGTGTTTGTGATGGGGAATATTCAATATCATTTTGGTTTTGACTTACAGCTTGTACATGCAGTGGCCATGCAAATATTTGTCATATGCACACAGGAAAATGTTTCTGCACAACTAAAGGAATAAAAGGCGATCAATGCCAATTGTAAGTAAAAATTACTTTATAGAACTTTTGTGGGTTAAATTTGTGCTGTTGAACTAATTGCTACAGGTTTCCCTTTGAAGTTTAGTGTTGTATTAGTTAAGCAACCAATATTATTATCAACTATGCTGATTTGCATTTTATCAATCTTCATAGAAGTTAAGCCTTTAAATGACAGTTTTATGGAAGCTTTAAAACAGAGCCCATAGAATATTTGTCTTCTGTACCTTTCTGATAAAAAGAAATATTTTTATTTTTTCTAGAACATCTTATATATCAAATCTCAAATCTGGGTGCCTCTCTTTATAATTTTCCTCTACATCTTGTTAAAGAACTGAAATTCAATGTTTCTATGCATTTCTTTGTTTTAAATCTTTTATTATTAATCCTGACCATCAAAATCTCATTAAGCCTTTCAATTGGTTTCTATACTCATTTTCTTTTTTTTCTATGTTATTTCATTAGACATGAACCCACTCTTGTTGTTACTCTGCTTTCAGTAGTTCTATGAGTGGTTATTGTCTTTTTATAATTTAGTTGTTAATCTGAAGATTGATTCTCGCCCACCTCCAAAAGAATTAACTTTAGAAAGTAGTTTTTTCAGGTTATTTAAATGCTTTTTCTTACTTATATTCTTTATATGTTAAAATCATTTTGCTAGTTTTGAATTATTTACCTGCATGCCCTTATCTTTGTATTAGATATAATATACTGTATTTGACATAAACCATAAATTCCAGCTATAATAATTACATAATTATTTTAAAAATTAATAAAGCATTCTCCAAAACTGTATCTATCTATATATAAATAAAAGTTTATATCCAAAGAAATTTGCTAGCCTTGGAAAATGATCTTTCTGCTTGTTTTTACTTAGAACAAATATATTATTTGCTGTAGAATTATCCTGCACTTCTCATGTTAGATGATCATGTCTTTGGCTAGTCTCTGAGGTGTCATAGGTTTTCAAGAGGAGGTGAGCAGAACAAGTTTTTATTCCTTCTCCATAGTCTCTAAACTTAAAAGTAAAGTCAAAGCATAAGATCACAGGGAAATTCCTGTTAAGAAGGCTATTTTGTTCTCAGTACCAATTCAATTAAGCAGAGTCCTATGCTTTAAGTCAGAGATGCCACCAGTATTTTGCAGTGCCATATACTGGTTGTTACAAGCAGGGCCAACTTTTGGTCATATGACATGCGCATTTACACAGGGCCTCATGCTCAGAAGAGCTTCTTGCCTGATTGAATGTTCTGCTGTTGCCATATTAAAATTTTAATACATTCTTAACAAGAGCCCTTCATTTTCATTTTCCCCTGTTCCTTGCTTCTCCTTTTCCTAGTGATTTATGTAGTAGATCTTGGTCTTAAGCAATGAATATTTTTGTTGAGCTTCTAATATCATTTTAAACACTGACAGTTTAAATTTGTACTTTATTTTTTCATAAATGGCATAGCCATCCATAATAATTATCTCTTATGTGATGTGGTACTTTAGTAACACACTTTTGATTCCAGGTGAAAAAGACAGTATTTTAATTCACTGAACTCATGGGTTTGTAAGCTTAGATATACAGAGTTAGAAGATTTGACACATGCATGAAATATTAGAAAAATAATTTATGTAGTTCTGAATGATGAAAATACATTTTACTGCTAGTTACTGTAATTAGGGGAAATTTTTTACAAGTATGGGAGAAATTGGAATACTAAATTGTGGGCATATTTTGTAGATAGGTTTTTTTTGTTTTCTTTTTTCTTTTTTTAAAAATTTATTTATTTTAATTGGAGGCTAATTACTTTGCAGTGTTGTAGTGGTTTTTGCCTTACATTGACATGAATCAGCCGTGGGTGTACATGTGTACATGCGTACACATATGTACATGTGTTCCCCATCCTGGACCCCCCTCTCCCCATCCCATCCCTCAGGATCATCCCAGTGCACCAGCCCTGAGCACCCTGCCTCATGCATCAAACCTGGACTGGTGATCTATTTCACATATGGTAATATACATGTTTCAATGCTATTCTCTCAAATCAGCCCACCCTCGCCTTCTTCCACAGAGTCCAAAAGTCTGTTCTTTACATCTGCGTCTCTTTTGCTGTCTCGCATATAGGGTCATCGTTACCATTTTTCTAAATTCCGTATATATGCATTAATATACTGTATTGGTGTTTTTCTTTCTGATTTACTTCACTCTGTCTAAGTTTTTACAGATAGAATTACTCTCATTGTTTTTTCATTTTACTTGTTTTATTTATTTATATTTGTTAATTATTTACATAATATATACAATATATTTATAAAATAGAAAATTTTATATTACATGTTTGTATTAAATACATATATTTATTTCTGTATGAATATTTGTTTTATTTATTTAATTTATTTATTTTAGTGTGGGGCAGTGGTGACATTAGTGTCCTCACAAATTTTTTTGTTAATTAATGTTTTTTTTGGTTGCACTGGGTCTTCTCTAGTTGCAGTGAGTGAGGGCTACTCTTCATTGCGATGCATGCTCTTCTCATTGTGCATCTCTTGGTGCAGACCTCGGACTCTAGGGTTGTTTGGGCTCATTAGTTGCCACGTGTGTACTCAATAGTTGTGACCCCAGGGCTTAGTTGCCATGCGGTACATGGAATCGTCCCAGACCAGGGATTGAGCCCGTGTCCCCTGCATTGGCAAGTGGATTCTTAACCACTGGACTGCCAGGGAAGTCCAGGGTCCTCATTCTTAAAGCAATAACTTAAAGCAATACTTTCCTGCCATGTGCTCATACTGGAAAAAATGCTCTTGTTAGGAAGCAAAGCTAGTCACTCATGTCAGTAGACAATCATTAAATGAGTGCTTCGTACTATTAATGAAAATGAATAACACATGGCTTTTACTTAAAGTATCAGGCTTGCAGTGGAGACACTAGCCAAAATCTACTACACTACTTTCTTATATTAGTGCATTGAGATGCTTATGAATGAGCCCTTTCTTTTTCCCAGGATAATTTGTTTGGTTTTAAGTAAGGATTTGCAAACAGTCAGCTACCACTGAGCAACAGAACAACTAATGTAGTTAGAAGGGAGCTTTCCAGGTGGTACTAGTGGTAAAGAACCTGCCTGCCAATGCTGGAGATGTAAAAATAGGTTCGATCTCTGGGTCAGGAAGATCCCCCGGAGAAGGGCATGACAACCCACTCCAATGTCTTGCCTGTAGAATTCCATGGACAGAGGAGCATGGCGGGCTACAGTCCATAGGGTTGTAGAGAGTCAGACATGACTGAAGCGACTTAGTACAGCATGCACATGTAGTTAGACATCACACCTTCTGGTAGATTTTTCATAACCTCTCCAAACTGAAATTGAGTCTCTTCCTATTTATGGATTTTTCCAATGTGTTGTCTGTGTACTTGCTTATATCCTTTATTAAGTGAAACTCTTTGGGGACCATTGCATAAATACCACAGTGTAAATGTTCAATAAATTTATTTAATGGAATAGAATGTAGAAAATATTGAATGAGGACAAAGGAATGATTGATTTATCATGTAAGAATAAGGATAATTAGAACAGGGCATATTTAAGATGAAAGTTGAAGAGAGTTCAAGTTTTCTGAGAACAGAATATAGTAAACAGGAGGGGAAAGTGAAAGTGAAGTCGTTCAGTTGTGTCTGACTCTTTGCGACCGCATGGACTGTAGCCTACCAGGCTCCTCCGTCCATGGAATTTTCCAGGCAAGAGTACTGGAGTGGGTTGCCATTTTCTTCTCCAGGGGATCTTCCTGACCCAGGGATCGAACCTGGGTCTCCTGCATTGCAGGCAGACGCTTTACCATCTGAGCCACAGGGAAGCACCCAAACAGAAGGGGAAACAGCATTAATAAAGCAAAGAAGGAAAAATGAACATGATCATCACATTTCTAGTTTTTGCTCAAGGATGTGGAGAGCTGGAAAAAGCATTGTTCCCACCTTTACAATGAAAGAAATAAAGCTGGGCCAATGCAGACTCATGAGTTTTCTTGAAAGCGTTGGAGTCCTGAGATTATAGTGTGACCAAATGGCCAGAACTCTAAAGAGAAGCAAGAGCTTTCAGGGAGAGATGATAAAGAAATACTGACTAAGATGGAGTGAAGCCAGCAGGAAGCCTAAGTGTCCAGCTGGTAAATAATGCTCAAGTGCTCATTGTCAATAGTGTGAGGGCCCTGGGAATGTGGAGTTGTGGGTCCCCACCCTTTTTAGTCTTTTTCTGTGAGCCCCATGGAAAAAAATTGGAGAAACTTTTAACAATGCATTTCTTGTGGTGTTAGCTTGGGGAGGGTAATAGCAGACACAGTGGGCAGGCCTTCAATATGGGGTCAAAATATTCATTTAAAGGAACACCAAATTATTAATCTTGCCATGGTAAAGTTCTCATTCTGGCCCTGGTCTGAACACAGTTGGAACTCAAAATTGGTAAGTTGAAAAAAAAAAGAATTTAATGAGAATATAAGCTAGTATAAAATGAGTGAAAATTGTTTATCTGAAAATTTTTTTTCTTTTGAAGACCAACATGCAGACTTTAAGGAAAACACACATGTTGTTTCTGTAAAATTTCTCAATTAACCACGTAAAAGTGATGCTTGTTTGCATCATGTAAAATACAGTGTCATTTTCAGTGTATGTTTGAAGAAGGTCAGTAGTGGTTCATTTTTTTTATTTCAACCTTCTGACAACATTTCTGATAGATACTGATGTTTCTTGTTGGGAAATAAAAGATTTCAGATGAAAATAGGTGGAAGAAGTTTTGATAAAATATTATGGTAAATACTTAAGATGTCGTCTGGCCAACTCCCATGGCTTTTATGGTTTCACCATGACTGCGGTAGTTAGTTTCAATATTTTGCATAAAGAATGAAGATCTTTGTTTCTTTTTTAGTTGCAAAGCTACTCATTTCTACTCAGGTACAAACAGCAAGTGTAAGTCAATAATATGTTATATACTGTGCCCAGTAAGTATGAAGCTCAAAATATTTTGATT